GCTATGGAGTCTGGTAGAAAAGGGGATTCCAACTCCTGATTCGAAGAAGAAGAAAACGGCTGAAGAGGCATCAGACGAAGAACCTGATGCAGAGATGATCGCTGTGCTCATGAGGGACGCGAAGGCTCTGGGCATCATCCAAAACGCAGTTTCTGACCAGATCTTCCCTCGGATTGCCAACGCTGACTCAGCCAAGATGGCGTGGAATTTGCTTCATGGTGAATATCACGGTGGTGATCAAGTCAGGTCAGTGAAACTTCAGAATCTCATACGAGAATTTGAGTATATGAGAATGCGTGAAGGTGAACAATTAACTGCATACCTTACTCGATTAAATGAACTGATAAATCAAATAAAAACGTTTGGAGAAGTGTTATCAAACGAGAGGCTGGTTCAAAAGGTGTTAATCAGTCTTAGTAGAGTATATGATCCTATCTGCTTGGTGATTGAAAATACAAAGAGTTTGGAGACTATTGAACTGCAGGAGGTTATTGCAATATTGAAGAGTCAAGAGCAGCGGTTTGATATGCATAATGTAGATATAGCTGAGAAGGCATTTGGTTCTTTCTCAGTTGAAACAAAAGGGCAGAATAAGAACGGCTTTCAAACTGGTTCTGCTAAGTCTCAGAAAAATTGGAATTGAAAAAACAAACCAGGGGAGTCTAGGCAGAAGCCACAGCAAGCTGGTGCTGCACAGACCTCAAATGGATCACAATATGTGCATCAAGATGGAGTGAAGCCTCAATGCAAAGTTTGCTCGAAATTCCATTTTGGGGAATGTAGATATAAGGGCCAATCTAAGTGCTATAAGTGTGATAGATTTGGACATTGGGCTAGAGATTGTACTGCAAACAAAGGAGTGCAGAAAGCAAACAATGCAAGTCAAGTAGAAGTAAAAGGAAATCTATTTTTTGCTAATTGTGCAATTTCAGAGAAGAGTGCAAATGGAGAATGGTATGTAGACAGTGGCTGTAGTAATCATATGACTGGGAACAAGGAGCTGTTAATTGA